AAAATTATATATTGTGTATAATATGATAATACTTTCTGTGAAAGTCTTTTTAAACCTTTTGATATGAATATTTTTTATATTAAGACAGAAAAAAACTCCTTTAGATCAGAAATATTGAGAGAAAAATTGTAGATGAGGACCAAAAGACTTTTGTCACAACAGGACAGAAAATACCTAATAAATATTGACAGAATGGTCAATTTAAAACAACGTTTCTCTTAAAAAAATAGCTTTTTAATTCTTCATAGCAAACCCTATAGAGAGATTAAACTGAATGGTTTAAAATTTGAAGCACTATTGTGACACTTGAGATAAAGATCCTATAGTTCGATTTGTCATGGCCAAATAACCACCAAGTTTAAATGTCTAGTACAGTGAAGTTTTGTTGTCTGTTGAGAGCTTGTAAATACTATCTGTATGTTATTGATACAGTACTTAGCGACGGTGATAAATTTTGTTTATTAATGTTTTTCTTTTATTTATCTTCCATCTCGATTGTAAGTTGTAGTAAATATAGCAATTTTAGAAAATGTTATAGATTCTTTTTGGATCGTTGATTTGTTAATTAAATCTAGAAATCATATATATGATAAGATCTCTTTTCGGTAGTGATAGAGAGAATGGTACGATTTAATTTGACAAAATACTAAAATACATTGAATATCATGTATTTGTTCTCCATGTTGAGCATTAGTGACATTTTAATAAAAATTAAATTTTATGAAAATAATAATAACTATGATAATATTTTTTCCTTATTCATTTTCATTATAATACTCGTAGTGTTCTATCAGAAGTCCATTACTAGGCCCTAGTAGAATGCATCATGAAACAGAACCAGCAAATTTTGAAACAGAATGAGTCAATTCTTGACCATTAAATAATTAAGGAGGAAAAACAAAATCTTACGCTTCTTACTATAAGCCGACATTTTAGGACATTGATAGGACATTTTAGCGAAAAAAATCGTAATTTAAGCGCCAAAGTGTATAGCCGGTTATACCGCCAGAATGTTTACCCATTTTAGCGTAAAGTGAAATTATCAATGCCCATTGTAGCGACAGAAATTTATTGATAGAATAGTTGCATGATAAAGACAGTCTTATATAAAAAAAATATCATGTCCATAAAAATGCAGCACTAAAAGTCTAAAATGTTAAGTCAATGTTTAATTTTCAATTTATGTCCCAGGGCTCTTGATATGCTCCCTGTACAATTCTGTTCCCAAAACTGGTCTTTCTCTTTGTCTTATCTAGATTGAAGTGCAGATTCATCGATAATTCTTATTTTAATATTTGCTGTTGTTTGTAATTTGATGATACCATCCAGAAAACACAAATTCCTGAGTGACGTGAGTCATCACATATACCACTTTTCTTTCCTCTGGTTGTTTCCATAACACTTATTTCTATGATTAACCAAATTGTAAATGCAAACAACATAAAAACATTTTTCCGCTAAAATGTCTTGCGCCCCTATAAGCTTACCGGTTCATTAAAGAGTTACATCTAAATAATTTTATGTCAAACATAGGTGTCATGCGCTAGGAAATCTGTATCATACGAATTTAAATAGCCCTTGGTCGTTGCCGCTACTAGTGGACTAACAGTTCCCGATGGTACCACACACACACACAGATAGTCTGATTTAAAAAGAAGAATTTTGTATTGAATATTCCAATCATAAATTATACAATTGTACTAAAATCAAGGTTTAAACTCCATTAGGGAAAGTTTCTATTTTACCTTTCATTAATTTGTTAAGACAACTTTGGCTGTTAATTTTATTTTCGTAGAATATATATTTTTTTGGCTTCAGAATTTCCCATCTCGTGCGAAACTGACGAAATTGATTAATGACAATGTTGTTAATTATAATAATAATGATTCCTTGGAATCAATAAAACCAATGTGTCTATCAATGCACCTTAGCTGAATTTTCAGATTTGACACTATAGCAGAGAACCTTGTAATTTTAATAGATCAGCTCTTCTTTGTACCCATTAATCAAGTTGTCCAAACAAATTGCTGAATTGAAAAGAAATAATTTAAGTATTATGAAATCGAAAAATGATTTTCAGATATTAAAGTGACATTCATTCCTCTAAAAAATGAATAAAAGTAAACCTTAAATCGTTAACACATTATAATTCAAAAGGTGTAATACTTATTTGAAGGATGTTTTGAATTTAGATAATAGCTAACATTATAGATGTAATTCAGTAAGATTTCAAAAGAAGAAATTATTGACAAATTATCGGCAAAAAATTACACTAAACCTAATAAATATATCTTAAAATGATGATTTTTAAATCCATATCTCATCATAAATTTATAATGTGAATTGACTAAAAAATATGTATTTGGCATTGCATAAAACTGAAAGAAATTGCATAAAACTGAAAGAAAACATTGTTTATTCTTTATCAATGTTGACTTGGACACTTGTCGATTTCTAGACTTTTTACATCGTATCCATACAATGATGACATTTATTTGTACGCGTCCAGAGCTAATTTTATTTCTGCATTTACATCATGTTAACAAGGTCTTTCAAAAGTTAAATTAATATTTTTTTCTTGTTGTTTTTTTGTATTACCAGATTTTGTCTCGCCTGCGAAGAAAGTCGCAGAATGCGAGACTTATGGGTTACTATCCGGCGGCTGCGGCTGCGTAAACTATTTGTATAAAGATTGATAATCCAGAAGGTAGAATAACTGAGTGATTCATGCCTTGTATGTAGATTTAAAAAAAAAGAACTACTCTACTCTTCGTATTTAAACATAAATGCGTAAAACGACTATTAAACTATGGAGCAGTCAAGCTTTTTTTTTACTCCCTTTGTCCTTGCCCATCCAAATACCTGAGATCACCACGGTTTTATGTGGGTTCGTGTTGTTTAATCTTAATGGTCTTTGTAGTGTGTTGTTTTGTTTTTTAGTCGATTTTCATTTTTCTCCAGGGTTTTGTCAGTTTCTCTTCATGAGACTTATGAATTTAGGGTGCCCATTAGGTATCTTCCGTCTCTCTTTTATGGACGTACTATTGTGTGTTTTTTTCAAGGCTATATGTGTTCTATGTTTTATTTAAAAGTTCATTTGCTGGATGAAAGACATTTGTATTAATAATTGAGTGTTTACGCGATGGTCTATTAAAATAATTAGTCTTTTAGCACTAGATTCATTGTAGCAATATAATATGTCATTTAATCCAGTCAACCAAAACGAAGCATTTCTAGAAATAAGTGAATGTGATCATTTTTATTTATCCATCAAATAGATTAAATCTCTATAGACCTACAAAATTGTTTTCTTGGCTAAGTCAATTCAGTCATCCATTTGAAATAAATCAAATTAATGCTAGAGAGTTGATGCCTACATAACAAAACTGAAGATCAAAACCTTTGCAAAATAATGAAATAAATTAGTTGTGCAAGCACATAAAACAGAGACAAAACTAACTGATCGAAATTAAACACAGGAGGATTGAGATATTAAAAAAAACGAATTTAACCTCATCATATATTTACGTTTCTGTCACATCCTTGTCATTGATTGTCTAGTGCCGTATCATATAATTTTTTAGACTATAGTACGGCGGTATAGAACTTGACATAGTGTATAGATACCTGTCTATTGTCGAAGACTAAATGTCTTTTGGTTATATGTCTTTGTTTATTATTTATTTTTCTCCCTCGTTTCACTCCTCCGAAAATATTTTTTTTCTTAACTAAAGATCGTAGAAAAAACCAAACACAGTATAGGGTTGTGTGTTCGCAACAAGATCGCATTTAATATAACATATTTAACATATCTACAATCACACATACATAAATGCATCAAAATTCACCATACACAAGTCGATACAAACTGAGAAAGTAATATATAAGAATGTTATTTGGGGTGAGTGGATGGAAAATAGTGTACCAAACCAACTTCTGTGTCCTAACTATCTTGTAACGAACGTCGCATTGGTCAAGCGCGCCTTTAATGTCCTTAACATACTGACTGCCAAAATCGTCAAAAAGGGATTCAATGGGTATTACCTTAATAATAATTTAGATATTGAAAACCTTTATGTTAAACATAGGACCGTAAAAGAATGCAAGTCTCATTGAGGTATACCTGCCATCTCTTTTTGCAAAACAATGTAAATTAAATCAACAAGATATTTGATGAAAAAACAATGATTACTATGAACATAAAAAACTTCTTAATTAAAACGTTGAGTAACACGAAGAACGTGTAGTATCAAAAACCAACGAGTGATATCACGTGTACCGGAAGAGAAACATGGGTGGGATTTGTAAATTTTTTTGAAGTGTTGCTGCTCATAAATTGACATAATGTCCATGAATACTCACTGTAGGTAAATACATTGTACAGTTATCTATCCTTGTAAAGTTATGAATAAAAATACCGTTTTCTACTTTTTTTATTCCTACAGTGGTGATGTTTTTGAAGAGGAAAATTTTTGTTAATATATGGAAATCTTTTTGAAACAACTATATAGGTTCAAACTGAGAACTATAGAAGGCTCCGTGTTGAAGGCCTTTCTTTGACCTATAATTGTTAACTTTTTATACATTGTGACATAGATGGAGAGTTGTCTCATTGGCGCTCATACCACATCTTCTTATTTATAAAGAAAGATTGGGATATTCCAAGAAATAAAATTGATTGAATCTAATTTTCAATCAATGTCAGCTATGTTTCTCCTTCATCTACAATAAATAAGTTTCACCTTAGAATATTCAAAATAAAGAATAGACGTACTTGCGCGTTGTCTTCCTACAAATGTCTTTTGCAAGACAAAATGTACACTCACACCAGAACAATCGCTCATACGGTATGCAAGAATTTTATAAGAAAAAATTGGTTATAGTATAACAGCATGCAAAATTAATCTAATTTATTAACGAATGGATATATTGTGAGAAAACTTTAGCATTTAATCATTATCATAAGAACATATTCAATCGAGTATATTTTATATTTACAGGGAAAGCCGTACAACCATTGGATATTGTTTCACCTTCCCGATCGACTGTTATTATTACGCACATGTGATGAAGGTTCAACAGCTTAAAGCGGAAGAGGAAGCAGAACTTTTATCAAAATGGAGGGAGATCATACTTACTGCTAATGGAAAAAGGAGGTCGCAGCGTTGCCAGTAATTTCTCCCGGCAAGAAACTTTTGAAACCGACTCCAGGTTTACAGCACGCTCTAAGAGCGGGAGTGTGAAAAGGGGAGACCTATCGCTTCCGGTTATTGGCCCGCGTCATCTAGTCAGACAAAATTCAGCTGACAGAATTCAAAATAAACATAGTGATAGAGTATCTTCTCCAGAAGCAATCTTCGGCAAAGGTATTCACAGTGATAGAACGTACACGACAAATTTACTTGAAAAGTCAAACGGAGACTTTCCAGATGAAAAAGCTCCATATAAGTTAAGAAATAAAAAATACCCAGATATATCTGAGGACACTAGTTATGTCAAGGAATCGATATTAAATGAACAGAAAAAATCGGTGATCAATAAACAAGTCAAAGAAAAAAGAAAAGTGGACACTAAAAGTGTGGAAAGTGGTGATTCATCCAAGGAAAATAAAATAGTTGGTGCTAAAGAATCTCCAGTAAAAGAAGTCAAAACAAAATCTACAAATGCTTCCAAAAATGACAATTCTCTGAAGGAAAATAAGATAACAGAGAAAAACACTGCTTCAAATGAAAGTAAATTTAATGATAAGAAAGTTTTAAATAGCAGTGCAGTAATAAAGGAACGTAAAAGTAACGAAAACAAACCTTTGGACAAAGCTGTAACAGTAAAAGAACGTAAAATCAACGATAGGAAACCAGTAGAAAGTGTTATTTTAAGAAACGAAAGTAAAAATAATGATAAGAAAACTTTGGTGAATACTAATTCATCAAATAAGTTTAACGAACAAAAGGATATTAAGCCATCAAAGAGAGAAACTTCCGTAGATTCAAATGTTCCTCAGTTAAAACAGTTAAAAAGAACAATACAAGAAAAATCTAATGATAAAGCCAGTAAGGAAAAATCAAGCGACCCGAAACTTGGGAAGCGAGAGACACTTCGGGATAAACTAACAAGCACTCCAATAAGTGATTATACAAGTAATACTGCTGCCAGACCAGTTAAAACAAATAAATCCTCAGTTTCTAAAGTACAAATTAAAGAAACAAAAGCAATTGAAAGCATCAAAAAAGAAGAAAGTAAACGCCTGAAGGAAAATCTTACCCAAACAACTAAAACAACATCACTAAAGAGTACTCAAAAAGTAGAAAACAAAGTTGTGCGAGAGCAGCTTAATTTGAAATCGGAAAGCAAACTCTCAAGAACACAAACAACTGAAACAGTTGATAGAAAATACGAAGAAACTAAAAGAAACCGATTGAAAAATATCAACAAAGTTGGCATTACTGGGGAAAATAGTACATCGAAAAAAGTTTCAAAAGATACACCTACATACCCAAAACAAGATATTTTTTTGTTGAATGAGCGTAGGCCGTCGTCGGATTCGTTCGAATCGGGTTTTGCTTCATATCGACAAAGCGATAATCGACGAGAAAAAGTAGAAGATGTGATTTCACTTTTGACGGTAACTGACACTGAAGTGGGTAAACCGCCGGAAAACACTGTACTTGATCGACCGCGAAGTGATAAAAGTCGCGTTAGTTTTCGATCTGAGCAGGGTCCGACTGATAAGTTCAAGGGTAATCATCTAATGGAACCAGTTGTCCAGAGGAAGCCAGGATCTGAAAGGATGACGGAATCATACGAATCAATATACGAGGAACGGAGAACTCTACTGGAGGCTGAGGGGACATATCGAAAACGTATAAAACAACTCGAAGATGAAATGAATCAGTTCTTGAAAACTATTGACGATCTCCGATCAGAAAACCGAGCTCTTAGAAATAGAATTGACTCGCTAGAAAATTCTGAAAATTCTGGTGGTAAACGTGAAAACGAACAATTGAATTTAACAATACAGTCCCTTCAAGCCCAGAATAAAGTTTTAGAATCAAAACATGATAAAACAGAGGCTAAAATTGCAAAACTCGAAAAAGAAAAGGACAAACTTACCTCTGAAAATAACGACTTGACCTCGAAACTAACTGATCTTCAAGTTAAATATAGCAAGGTTGACAATGACTTGGCAAAACTTAGATTGGAACAAAATAGTGACTCAACTAAGTTCGACAAAGAATTTAGTCAATTACGTAATGATTTAAAAACGGAACAGTCAGAGCGAAAAAAGCTTGAAGATCAAATTACAATTTTGAAAACAGACAAAGACGTGTTGAAGGATGAAGTTGTTGCGCTGCGCTCATTAAACAAGAACTTAGAAGCAATTAATGAAGAATTCAAAAATGAAAATATTACAACTGGTGAACTGCCAAATAAAGAAAAAATGGAACTGAAATCACAGATTATAACACTTCAAACGGATAATCAGACTTTAAACGAAGAAAACATCAGATTAAAAGCAGAAAACTTGAAACAAGTGAAGTCAATTCATGATTTAGAGAAGACTGCAAAGTCGTTTGAATCGAGTGTAACGGCAGTTGAATCTTCAAAAATGACAGAAATTCAGGATTTGCAAAACGAGAATGCAAAACTTAAATCAGAAATCAAAGATTTGAAAGAAACACATGCTGATGCAAATAATAAGATAAAATCTCTAGAATCTGAAAATAAAGATCTAGACGAAACTCTTTCACAAAAGAAAGTCGAACTGTCAGAGTTGTTAACAGCTCTCAAAGACGACGATAAATTCGATAGTGAAATTAAAAATCTAAGAGCAGAAAATGCTCGATTGAAAACTGAAAGTGAAGAGAAAGACAAAAAAGCAGATGATTCGGGTAAACATCTAGAGGAAATAAAGATAGAAAAAGACAAATTTGAAACGGAGAAAAACAAACTTACTAAAAAAATTAATGAAATGCTAGAAATGAATGAAGAGCAAAAGAAGCATATGGCAGATCTACAAGAAAAGCTAGAGTTTGGAAAGCGTGAAATAGAATCAAATAAAGAAAAGCTCAAACAAATAGAAAAGTATGAAAACGAATTATCAGATTTGAAATCAAAACTTCAGAATACAGAGAAAGAAAGAGATAGACTTATTAAACAAAAACAAGAAGAGATAGACGACCTAAAATTAAAAATGGAAAGAAACGATGTAAATCACAAAGAGCAACTTGATGCATTGAAAATGGAATATGAAAAAGAAATCGACGAACTGAAAAAGCAAGTTGATTTTTTGCAAAAAGAGATCGAAGAGTTGAGGCAGTTGAAAGCAGTCGAGAGCGAACTGCTAGAAACAAATGATGAACTTATGAAAGTAAAAGAGAAATATTCGCAAATGGTTTCGGAAGTTGAGTCAAAGTCGGATTTGGAACAGAAAAACTTCCAAATGAACATGAGGATGACTCAGATGAATAATACCATCAAGCTGTTAGAAAGAGATAAGAAGGAATGGCTTATCAAAAAGCAAGAATTTGACGAAATTGAAGCTAATAATAAACGTTTACAAGATGAAAACATTGGCCTCAAGCAACGTGGCGGTATCAAAAAAGTTTCTAAACAAATTGACAAGCAAATAGAATTTTTAGAACGGAAACAGAAAGACGCAGAAACACGTGTTAAACAATTAGAGGGTTGGGTAGGCGATTTATATGATGATGATGAAAGTCAGAACCGTGCAACATATGTTGGCAGTTTGAACGGAAGAAAAGCTCCACCTCCTAAGAAGAAACAACCCTTCACAAAAGCTTCCAAACCGCCAAAAACAACAATAAGAATCGACCACGACCGCCCAAGAAGTTTGGATGATGTTGAAGTAAGGGAGAAAGACATTTACGAAAAAAGATCAGAAAAGTCTGAGAAATTTTCACATTCCTCAACTCCGAGCTTGCCCGCCATTGAACCAGAGACTAGATTAACTTTTGGTTTAGGATATAGCCAAATACATAGAAGTCGAATTAAAGCTGCTCAAAAGTATAGGAAGTAGGAATTAAGAACGTATCACTGCAATATATCATTATATTATAAACTGATGTTCTCGTATACTTTATAGTGAGATATATTTAATGTCAAATTGCGGTTTTCTAGAGCGGTAGAATATGCTTTGTCATCCGACGCACGCATCAGATCTCTGGAATTAGTCCGAATTTGAAAAAACACTAACTTTTAGTGATAGTATAGATAACAGGAAATACTGACGCTGCCTTTTTAAAGTTTTGTCATTTTATTTATTTATGCAATGAAAACATAGTAAAGCGCATCTGTGATATATAGAGAGAATTATATATAATGATTTTCTCAAAATAAAAATTAAAGCATTACAATGTTCATGAATAGCAGTGTAGTAATTTCCAGATTTGATTTGTGCAGTTTCATTCCTATGTCCTTACTGACGATATAAATTATAGCTTTGACAAAAACGTAATTTATAAGAAAACGTAAGTAATTCCAATTCTCAAAATGAGCCTGAAGGAACTGACAAAATCCGTCTACGGCAAGCTTTGTCTGAGGGGCTAATCCTTTAGTTTTGATGTTTCTTATTAAAGGTGTAGATCATAGTATGATACAAGAAATAATGAAAAGAATTTATGAAATTTAATCAACGAACAACCACTCTCTAGTTCTAGCAAAAAACAAATTTTTCTGAAAGTAACATATGATTCTTGATTTTGATACCCCAGGAAACGAAGTTTGTTCCTTTTCTTTCTTTTGTTTGTTTGGGTTTTCTGTAGGGGTATATATTCGTCGGTCTGTCAATTAATCCATGTTGCCTTGTAAGCGCATCTCCTAACCGACTAGTCGGATATTCGTGAACATTTAAACAGATGTAGTACACTACCAGATGATGTACATAACGGATCATAATCCCGGTCATTGCATGTTAAAGGGGAGATAGTCGAACTTACTTCAATGTTGCAATGTGTGGTAATAGTTTCTTGTAAGCACAACTCCTCCTAAACGGCTAGATAGTTTACACAGTTGTTTACACTGCCTGCGAATGTACAGAAAGGACCGTAATCCCCGTCCTACATTTCATGGGGGAGATAATCAAATTAGCTTGGCGGGTTTTCTTGTCGTGAGCTCACTCACACGGATTTATAAACAAGAAGATGTGATATGAGTGCCAATGAGACAACTATCCATCCAAGTCACAATGTGTGAAAAAGTAAATAATTATAGGTTAAAGTACGGCCTTCAACACGGAGCCTTGGCTCACATCAAACAGCAAGCTATAAAAGGCCCCAAAAAGACTAGTGTAAAACAATTCAAAAAGGAAAACCAGCGGTCTAATCTATATAAAAAAATGAGAAACGAGAAACACTTATGAACCACACCAACAAACGACAACCACTGAACAAATCTAGTTTTTCTTACAAAACATATTTGTTACGTTGGGTTGACGGGTAAGACGGCCTTACCTTTCAAGCTTGCACAATAAATCGTCGACTTTTTTTGTTTATTCATTTCGACACTGAAAACAAAATGTGATACAGAATAAAGACGGATATGAATATGAATTCGTGTGTTATGGTAATGATAATTAATCACCCAGTTCATTAATTAAATTTTAGTTTGGGTTAACTAAATTTATACGATATATTTGGTTTACAGTTTGATTTAGAAGAAACACCGACATAGCTTGATAATACTATTAATTATCTTATTACTACCACATTTTATATTAATTAGTATTGTAATTTTCATTGTTATTAATAAATGTAATATGAGTATTTTAAACCAAATCTTGAATTCTATCCTAATTCTATCCTATTTTGGGGAAATTTCAGAAATTCAAATGTGACGTCACCTTTTTTTTTTTGCGTTGATCTCTTTGGCTAACTTGGCTGTGAATTTTTATGTGCTGGTACCGTTTATGTTGTTTTATGTATCCGTTTTTATTCTGTAGTTAGTCACCACTTCGGTGTTATCATGTATATCTATTATATAGTCATTTGTATAAATTTACTGTTTGCAAAAGTATGAATTATTCTAAATACTAAGGATTTTCTTATCCCAAACATATAACCTTAGCCGTATTCGGCACAATTTTTTGGAACTTTTGGTCCTCAATGCTCTTCGACTTTGTGCTTGTTTTGGCTTTCGAGATTTTCTTATCTGCGCGTCACTGGTTGGTATTTTGTGTGGACGAAACGCGCGTCTTAAATTTAAACCTGGTACCTTTTGTTAGCTATTATTCGTATGTTTCTCTGTCCTATATTTTCTCCCATTTATTTGTATAGTAGTCCTATCATGTAATGTTGTCATTCTAATGTTATATTTGATAATGCCATAAAAGTGGTAGGTTTGGCTAGCCACAAAACCAGGTTCAACCCACCATTTTTTTCTTAAAATGTCCTGTACCAAGTCAGGAAAATGGCCATTGTTATATTATAGTTCGTTTCTGTGTGTGTTACATTTTAATGTTGTGTTTCTGTTGTGTCGTAGTTCTCCTCATATATTTGATTTGTTTCCCTCAGTTTTAGTTTGTAACCCGGATTTGTTTTTTTTTTTCTCAATCGATTTATGAATTTTGAACAGCGGTATACTACTGTTGCCTTTATATATGAAATCAAGTGCTGAGGAAAAGTGAGCATGATTGTTCTGTCGGAAATATGATGAGGTTCAGTTGTCAATGTGGCAATCAGAAACGATCAATTGAAGAAATAAGCCCCGGCCCGCATTGATTATCACATAAACAAATACATGTTCCCAATGTAGGATCAAGAATAAGAAGACAATACCAATGACTTAAAACTACAAAAATATGCTACTTCATTCTTAAAAAAAACCAGACGTTTTAAAACTTAATAATCTTTTATAAATCAAAATACAAAGACAAAAGAACAGAATATTTCACACATCAACTTATGAATAATATTTTTTTTTATTCCTGATATTCCAGAATAGAGGGGGAGGGGGAGGGGGAGGGGGAGACTTACTAAAAGACAGTTGTTTGTTAAATGTGTTTTCTTTTACTGATAAACGTGTCACTTGTACATCTGTAACATCTAATGGCGACTACTTGAAAGCCTTTTAAAGAGAGATTAATAAAGGCAACAGTAGTATACCGATGTTCAAAAGTCATAAATCGATTGAGAGAAAACAAATCCGGGTTACAAACTAAAACCGAGGGAAACACATCAACTATAAGAGGAACACTGAAGTGCAACAAAAACAAACGCCAAAATACATAGAAACGAACTATTTGATAACAACTGCCATATTCTTGACTTGGTACAGGACATTGTAAGAAAAAAATGGTGGGTTGAACCTGGTTTTATGGCTAGCCAAACCTCCCACGTATATGACAATGTTAAAAAATATCGCTAAAATGACAACACTACATGACAGAAATACAGCACAAATACCCACAAGAACACTCATCACAGAGAAACGCACAAACAAATAATATAATAGTCGACACAACATGCAAACCGCAGAACACAACGAACATCTTCCATCAACGACAGACACCACAGGACATCACAAACAGTGACGCACTTACGTAACGAACATGCAATCTCGAACTTTATACAATTATTTTCACAATACCAGTCCAAACAATTTTCATGACAATGATGGTATTGAAAGGCAATTTTATAATTATTTGGACTACAAACGATAAGACATAACACATTATCCAAATGAAACCATAACAGAAACATCCAAAATAAATACATGAATGTTGGATGTACAAGATACCGAGACACGTCGTATAGCAATGCAAATTAACACTCGGTATAACAGTCATTTTCGGGAATAAGTCACGTTCGGCACTTAGCAGACAGACGACATAGATGTTAAACCAAAATCTAAGACGTGGTAAAAATGTCATTAGTTAGTTTAGACACAGACACATCGTATAGATCAACCAATTCGTGATGGTGTCCATAAAATTTACAGAATGTCATTATTAATATTTCCTCATCAAAACTCTGTTGGAGCAGTTTCTGCGAATTGAGCACACTCCTGTATATGAAATCAGTATAGTGTGAACATGCACGAGCATAATGTATCAATTGAGATATGTAAACACCATACGACGGAGCAGAGTGTATAATAAGAAATTGATATTTGGGAAGTTGAAATCATCGCGTTAGTCATAGGTTTTAGTGTGAAGTCGTCCATCTGTGTCAATATTGAGGAAAAGATCAAGGTATGAAGCAGTCTTTCTTGTATCAGTAGTATCCTTAATTTCAAGTTCACTGGGATATATGAGATGCAAGTACTGACTGAAATATGGATTATTCAGTGATAGGACATCATCAATATATCTGAAAGTAAAATTAAAGAATTTTGCAAGGTGCTTTTTCTTTTTGTCTTTTAGAATGTTCTGGATGAATTCTGCTTCATACGAGTACAAAAACAAGTCGGCCAGAAGGGGTGCACAATTGGTACCCATTGGAATACTGACTGTCTGTTGAAATATCAATCCTCCAAACTCAAATAATATATTGTCAATTAAAAAGTCCAGCATTTTGATAATATCATCTTCACTGTATTTTCTGATAGAATCAGTGTGGTTCTTCACAAAATAAGAATTATGATAAACCAAAACAAGAAATTTATATCTACGATTCCCATTTTTATAAAAAAAAATCTCTGTTTAATGAGAATGTGAAGTCGATCTTTCAATTGAGCATGGGGAATAGTAGTGTAAAGCGTAGAAAAATCAAAGGTCTTAGTGTTGCTGCAAAATTGCACAGATTGTGATCTAAGATTTAGCAGTAGATCTTTAGAAATTTTGAGAATCCACATCTGATTGACACCACTGGTTGAATATATCTCATCACAATATTTTTGCAGGCCATCTTTTACTGTAGAAAGAATAGTAGTCAACACTTTAGAAAGATGTTTAGTCGAACATCGTGATGATCCAGCTATGTATTGTTCTTTATACGGAGTTTTGTGAAGTTTTGGTATCTAGTATAATGACGGTATATTTTCTTCGTTTTCTTTGATGTTAATACCAAATGAATTTGTGATTTTGTCAAATTTCATCCTTTGTAAATGATGTTAAAGAAAATATGTAGGATTACCAGTAGTGCTGTTTATTCTAAGCTCTTGTGAGAAATTGCAAATAATGGTTTATGCCCGATCTCACTGAAAAACTATTGTTTTGTTAATTCCAAAGTAATCGTTGAAAAATTATGACATGCCTCTTAAACTGCATTAAGCTTGTGAATCTTAGAAATTACTGTAATACGTAGAACATACCATGGTTTTGAATGGTATATGACATAAACGAATAACGTTCAATAATCTTAAATATCATGATATGTTTCAAGAAGGTTTAATACTTCCTCGAATGGTATATAAAATGCATGTACCTT